GGGTTGGACTAGATGACCCACAGAGGTCCCTTCCAACCCCTACTATTCTGTGATTCTGTGATTCTGTGATTCTGTGATTTGTGGGCGTCCAGATCGCTTAAGTGATCCCTCACGCAGTCCTCCTCAGCCATGGGATACTATCAACGTCTTCTCAAGCGCATTTATTCTACTACTCCCACATCAAAAGTAGGGAGGGAGATCTTATTTTAAAACCATTACAAAGATATAACTATTGAATTCAGGTTGCCAGAGAGATCATTTGAGAAGCAAAACCACTGTCTCTCTATAGTAAGATAACACCATGGAGAAAGGATGATTATCCATGAGGTAATTTTGTTCCCAAGTATTGTAAATCTCAGCTGCTTTTCCTTCCAAACCCAGCACCCTGGGGTACGAGAGCTTATTATAATATATTCTCTACTGTGCATTCAAGCCAAAACACTAGAGTATAAGCTATCACTTCAAAATGCATCTTGTTTTCCTCAGTTCTCGGTGCTAGTAGGTTGCATCATTTCCAAGACAAAACTGAGAGGCTCTTTAAAAAAAACAAACCAGAACATAACACACTTAGAACGAAGTAGTAGCTTCCAAGCCAGATTCCTACTTCTGGCGATGACAACTCAGAATATTGAAGTGTAGCCTTCTCAACGCTGCAATTCACTCCTAGTTCTCCATACTTAAGATCTTATTTAGCATCAGGCCAGGGACAGACTATTTCTTTTAAAGGTAAGGGTGTTCTTGAGGACTTAGGAATAAGAAGATTAGGTCTCTCTATCACAAACAGTAATTCAAAACACTTAAACCCTCTTGAATCCTCATGAAGTCTGGCATTAGAAATATTTTTAAACAGCTATCTAACAGAGCTTTTTTTCCAGGAAGAAAAAGGATTTACCACGGTGTAATTTCTTTGTGATGATCTCAAAACTAATTCAGAAAAAGGGAAGATTTTGCTGCCACAGCCTAACCTTCTGGCTACAGCTTGCAAGCTTTCCTGTTTTCTGAGCACTTTGCTGTAGGAATATAGAAATGAAGTCTCCCATTTCTCTCATGACTGGAGCACTGCCCAATGGCTGCAGGCAAGCAATGCCTCTTTGTTCTTTAAGCTCCAGCTGCCCCAGGGATGCAAATCTGACCAGCTGAAGCAGCATTCTCATTCTGCTTCAACTGGTTCAACTTTTTGAAGAAGGGCAAAGTGAAAATCATTTTTTCAAAATCCAGACACTGCAAAACCAAAAAAACCAATGGATTATCTAGTATATCTGGTTATTTGCAAAATTTGATGGTGTTTTCTTTTCCCTTTAGCACACATGTTTTTAGTGGCTGACAAAGAGCTGGAAAAAGCTAGATCCTGGGCAATAGGAAGACAGTTCTGATATACATAGCTCCAACCATGACCTCTGTGGCATTACACAAACCCAATCTCCTCATTGAGCTCCATTTAGGAAAGCAGAACCTGAGTGAAAAGTCTCTATTGTCGTTCTTTCAACAAGTACTTGGAAGATTATTTTCACTGGTTAATGAGCTATGGGATAACAGTTCAGTTACTTTATCCACACCTGCCTTAGCAACAAGCAGAAAGTTGTTATCTCTGTGAACTTTAAAAATTGTTGTTTTTCTAAAAAAAAAAAAATAAAAAAAAAATACCAACAGAAATTCTCTGAGCAAAACCCATCCTCGTGACAATGTACCTGTCCTTTATTAGAAGATTATTGTAGGCACTGTGCTTAATATATGATACCCAGGGAAGACAGACAATAAGCTACCATGCTGCTGTCCTCCTTTTTTTTTTTTTCTTTTTTCTTTTTTAAATAGGACTTAACAGCCTACAACACAAGATTCTTAGTGCCATGGAAGCACAGGCTACTGAGGATAAAATATTTTATCAGTAGAGGCAACACAGCTGTGAATTACTGGAGAACTTCATTATTATAACTTCATTAGTCTTTGAGTCTTGCTGTCCTTACAAATTTTTTATTCAGTAACTTAATCTCTCCCATTCTGGAATACCAACATTGACTGAAACCTGAGATCACAGTACAAGCAGCTATCTTCTTTCATATGAAACAGTAATAAGGCTTTGATATAACTTGACTGGAAAATAAATCGGAATGTTTTTAGTAAAAGATTGAAGAAATGGGAATTTTAGGTTCCTTTATCAACTGTTTTCCTTATTTACTTGGAAAGTGATTTCTGCACAGTTCTGGGATAGATGGGTCTTTACAGAGGTCAGTGAATCCATGCCTATCTAGAGCCTGGGAGACCAGGAGTGAATAACTGATGCTCACAGACAGAGGAGGATCTATCAAACTAGACGATGTTTTTTGTGAAGACTTACGTGAAACTTGCAGTTCAAGGCTATATTACAAGGGAAGAGAATGAATAAAGGGTTTTACTGCCTTGTCTCTCTTCCACCCACACAGCAAAGGAAATGTGTGTGTATGTGTGTACATAAATAGATATGTGTACGCACTGAAAATAATAGGCAGCTGAGCTACGACAGTGACCTGTTTCAAGGAAAATTATAGTTAAATACCCAATGAGTTCTGAGACAGGGTTTTAAGAGGATTACCATCTCAAAAAGATTACAGTACAGTAGCTGAATAAATTGTCTGGGTTGAGGTCTACAAGTTGAACTTAAATAAAAGTGTACCAATAAGTTTTTTTTACTACTAGGCCAGCTGAAGTGTTCTTTTGAGACTTGCCTGTTTTGTTATTCATGTAGTTATCTTTATTGCACAATAAGATAGTTTGACAAATGAAAGTCCAAAAACTAGTATAACTGATGGTACAATACCGGTGCACTCTGATGCATAAAGTGACGCTAACATTATGAAATAAATCCACTCTAAATGCTCCAAAGAGATAAGCCCTTTGTCCTACCACAAGAGGTACAAATATTTAATAATATACCAGCATTTGGAAAAGATCCACTGCCACCTGCTTATGTAAAATGAGCTGTGTATGACAGAAGCAGGTTCCCAGGTATGTTATAATAATTAAATTATTTGCTTTTACTGTTTTGGAAACCAGCAGCATCCTCCCACTAAGGAATGTGGAGTATAGTCCACAAAGTATTTGTCCTGTCCTATCACTAACAATGTTTAAGTTGGGGGAGGGAAGGAAGGAAAAGCTTGACTTTCTCCAATTGTTCATATGCTCCTGCAAGACAACAAATGCAAAGCTACAACCATATGTTAAGATAATGTCTTTAAGTCTGTTTATATTGATTTCTAGAACACATAAGCCAACCAATTTAAAAGCATTTTCTCCAAAAAAAATTGATCTGATTAATGAACGCTATACAATCACAGAATTTAAGCAAGGGCAAAGAGATACACGCAGGAGGTCCTTCAGAGAAGTCTCACAAGTCCCATGAGTTGTGGTTCATTTACTTTTGGTTTCTTGGTTGTGAGGCCATGTACAGTGCTACTAGACAGTAGATAGTCCCGCCTATTGTTAGAGCCATAGTGGTCCGATAAAGCAGCTTATCTGGAACTCCTCGTTTCAGGTGTACTGGCAGTCCATCTGCTTTCTGTGGGAAGAGTTTAAAAAAAAAAACAGAAATGAACTTCCATACCAAGGCCACAAGCAACAACCTACCTCAGGTAAATTAAGAGACTTCCATGAGGGAAACCTCCTGACAAATAGGCTATCTACGATCAAGTGTATTACATGTTTTTCGTTTAGCAAGGCAAATGCAAAGGCAAGTTAATTTTATTAGCCAAAGCTGTTAAGTGCACACAGAAAGAATGTATCTTTAAATATTTCTAAAGAGGACCTGGATGAAGTGTCACTAACAAAAGAGCGTGAAAAGATATGTATAAAAAATTATTCACCAAGTCAGACTGACACATTCCAAATGCAAGTGGCATGTAAGAGAGAAAAGGGAACATTATATAAAGCACATTCTTGATGTTTTTAAAAAAAATGCTTAACTGATTTGTTTTATAAAAAGCCCTAGTACGCTTAGAAGTTGCATAGCTAACAAACTGGCTTTGAAAACTTTACTGTGCTCTTCTTATACTGCATTACAAACAGCTTCAGTAATACTCAAATTATGATAAAAAAAAACAGTAATGATCTGCTTTGCTCCTCTAGATCTGCTTTAAGGCATATGCTTCGACTCCCAGACAGAAAGTGCTTCCAATAACCAATAATATAATAAGCATCTTCTGAAGCCAGCAAAGAGACAAACAATGTTACTAGATCTTCCACTTTCTGTATTTATCTCCCATACAAGACATATATACCTCGTAGTATAGTACAAGTATACAGGTTATACTGTATTTCACACTTTCTTAACTAGACTTCACAAAATTTTGAGATTGTGGAATGACAGAAGTAGTTAGCTGCATTAAATTAAGGAAAGATATGTCCTACTCTCCACTTTAAATTACTCTCAAAGTTGTCATTACCTGAAAAAGTTTCTGTAGGTCTGGAACCTTGTTTTTACCCAAGAAAGAATCAGTTGCTGGTAAATCTGAAGCAAGTTTAGTTGTTGTCCCAAAAATCAGAGCTGGGGATTCAGTGGAAACTATTGGTTTGAGTCCCTGCATAAATAAAGATTAAAATATGAAGGTATATAACACTTCCAAATGTACCAATTGTCATGTTAGGCAGGCACACTGACAGTCATTACAAGAACAATATTACTAATATTTATCTGGTATTAAGACCATGAGCTAAAGACACATTGTTTACCCACTCATTTCTCAGCTACAACTTTGGGTCAGGGCTTAGCAAGGAGAACAGTAGCCTTCTTTCTGATTTCTTCATGACATAAATTTATAGCTATCATAAGTTTGTGGGTTTTTTTCTTTTTTCTCTGCACTGGTACTTGTTCCAAATTGCTGCTTGTTTTTCACACATAGTCAGACTATCTAGGGCTCTATCTGAGTAGCAGGATTAGAAACAGGGAATCCCTCATGCTTGCGTCAAACAGAGTGCAGAGACTTCAATGAACTCTTCCTCCTGAATGCTGCAAGCAGCAGCCATTTATAACTGGGCTTTAAATAATTTGGATGTATACTTTGAAGAGAAAAAAAAAAAAGTTAAGACCGCTTGTTTCATACAACAGTAGCAAGTGGTGCTCGAGGACGCTCTGGAAGCCCTGACATGGTGGATATTTTATGCAAGTTTAACTACACCCTATAATTCACATGCTGCTGCAACTTTCCACCCCTCGTTGTACTCCCCATGAACAGCATAACTTAATTTCCTTTCAGTTCAGATGGTTGTACACTACACTTGCTGTAATTAAAAACTACATAATCCAGTTCTATGGGTAAGATTAAGTGCACAAAGTTACAGCCATCATGAAGTGGCCTCCTTGCCTTTATGACTATAGTTAGATTTAACAGTTATGCCGGGACACGTGGCAGTGATGTTTTACATTATGAATCCTGAAACAGCTGTAACTCTTTTTTTTTTTCTCCCTAACTTGCCACAATAATTAAAAGCATTGTACAAGTAGGTTAATGGAAGAGGTTCTCATTATAAACAGAACCAGCAATTGCTCTCCATGGGTCAAGTTTAAGCTGCATGGAAATTCTAGTTTCTGTTCAAAGGACTGGTTAATGCATTTTGTATTTAAGAGAACTACCTGAACGGTATTTGAAGCTGGAAGCAGACTGTCACTCTTTTTTTCTCTTAAGCCTGCCACAGACCAGACATGTTTTTTTCCATACATAAATTCTCTGCTACAACAGGCATCTTCAACAGACAGACCAGATTTCTCAACGTCCCGAAATAGCCTATGGAATGGTCATCAGTGCTCCATACTGAAAATGTGGGTCCACCTTCCCACTTTTCTAGTGCCTGAATGAATACTAGACTCACTTTGGGACCTTCTTGGTTATGTTTTGAAAGACAGAAGCCAAAACTGGATTCTCTGACACATTCAGTAACTAGTGCCTTCCTACTGAACAGGCTTGCATGGAAGGTAATTACAAAGTTATTTAAGACTAAGCAGTTCTGGTCACACCAGTAGGAAGGATGCATCTAAGAAACTGTTAACAGCCAGGGGAAGTTACTGGTTATATATTGAAGACTAAGTAACAGCTACTTCAAAATACTTGAAGAAAGCAATTTTGGACCAGCGTTTTTGTCTGGTGATGTGATAGAAGGAACTATAGAACACGTTTATACCAAATGTGCAGGTGATTTTTTTTCTCCAAAACTTTCCTTGCCTTCTTGATTGTTAGTACTGCAGCAATGTGCATCTTTCATCTTCCTCTAAGTTTCCACTTCTGAATCTCACTTATGCCTTCCTGAGGGCCAAACGTTTTCAGGAGCCATCATTGAGATCACTTCAACAGTTACTAGGTCATTGCAATTCCTGCTTGTTGTGATCATGCATATTTTATTTCATGAGCTACCTGTAGTGTATAAAACCTGTAAATGCTGAGAACTGGAGTAAGTTGCAAACTACTTCAAACAGTTCCATGATAAAGATACTTCTTTCATCATCCCTAAACTCACAGACGGGGGCTTAAAAACGTGATTAGCAACCCTTACCATTTTTTATTGGCGCTAAAACTCCTGCCTCTACAGGATACCACCTTGTTGCAAGACACACCCTACGGTTTATTATTATAATAGTGAAATCAGTTGTGTTAATAACTGTAAGTTATTGCATACTTTTTCAGGCTTTAGAAATACATTCCTATTCAGATAGTTATAAGAACCCCTTCTTTTGGAGTAACAGGAGGTTCAAACCTGACTCACGTGACTAACTTCACCATGAAATCAAATTAAACCACTTCAGAAAACTCGTATCATCAGTGTACTGTTGTAAATGACGCTGAAAGCAGCATGGCAGCAGTTAAGAACATCACGTAGCAATTTCAATAAAAATCACTGATATTTGTTCATCGGCTTCAGCAAAGAGGACAACAAAACATATGCTGCAGAGGAGAGATGGTTCAGTTTGCCTAATGCAGACATTGCACTAATTGAGGTCCCTCACCTCAACATAAATTCCACTTGAATTCCATCCATGACTTGTGAATCTTGTGGTCCACTCCAGCCAAGCTCAGCTAAGCTAGTGTAACCGCATGGCTGTTCCAACAGGGTACTTGTTTGTGTTTATTGGCAGAAGGTGGCAAGTGCTTTATCTCACACCCACCTGCTTGCTAAGCTTAGCATGGCTGAAGAGAAATCCTCAGTATTACACAGAAGAATTTCAGTACAGACCATTTTTTACGCAAGTCATTAAGACACCTTATATGTCACTTGTATTTAACATGACTAAAACTGCAGGTTTATTTAATAATATTTATTTAATAATATCAGTGTCTTGCTACACTCAAAATAGGGCTGAGGAATGAATGCCTCTACACATTTGACCCAAGCTTCATAAAAAATGTTTCACGCTGATAATTCCTCTTTTGATATTAAGGTGTTAATCTTTTATTCCTAACCACATTAACAGGAATTTGTTCCAATGCTTGGAAAAAGTACAGCAGATCTACTTAGTGCAAAAGAGTCAACATCAGCTGATTTTATCAGCAGGCTACAGCAATTACTTTGTCAAATGCTGAAGTCCCCAGTGAAAGGTCAGGACATGTAGCTAATCCAACACAACAAACAAAATTCTCTGCCTACCCTTCTGAAAAAGTGTGTTTGTGCTCCTGTCAGAGGTCTGAAGGTCTTAGGACCCAACCTATCTGTTGGTTGGCCAACATGTTCAAACAAACTTATGCCTTGCTGGCATCAATTTCCAAGTTAGATTTACATATTCTTAACTGTGCAAAACAGTTAAGGATTTGGAGCACAATGTAATGGAGACAGCACAACGCTTAAGCTTTTAACTGTTAGGGGAATTGCTCAAACAGATCTGAGAATGAGAAAGTAGAGAAAAGTGAGGTAAGGACCAAAATAAAGAGGGGAAACAGGAAAGAAAGTTAAGCTGAGAATTATTATTTCAGAACATGCATTGAAGAAACTTTAATGAACTTGCTAAACCTAGACACTTCTAACCTAGATAGCAGGCTTTTCATAGCAGGACATATCTCATCGTATGAGGTTAAATATATTTGTAACCACTAACACAAGGATGATTTTCATAGAATCATACCGTGCTTTGGGCTTGAAGGGGCCTTTAGAGGTCATCTAGCCCAGCCCCCCTGTAGTGAGCTCGGACATCTTCAACTACACCAGGTTGCTCAGAGCCCCGTCCAACCTGGCTTTGAATGTTTCCAGGGATGGGGCCTCCACCACCCCTCTAGGCAATCTGTTTCAGTGCTTCACCACCTTCATGGTAAAAAATTTCTTACTTATCTCCAGTCTGAATCTACCCTCCCTTAGTTTAAAGCCACTGCCCATTGTCCTAGCACAACAGGCCCTGCGGAAAATATCTTCCCCACCTTTCCTATAGGCTCCCTTCAGGTACTGAAACACTGCTATAAGTTCTCCCCGCAGCCTTCTCTTCTCCAGGCTGTGAACAGCCCCAACTCTCTCAGCCTGTCCTCATAGGAGAGGTGTTCCAGCCCTCAGATCATCTTTGTGGCCCTCCTCTGGCCCCACTCCAAGGGCTTCAGCTTTTAGGTAGGATCACTTCAGGCTTTGTTTGTATTGGGACGACACACTTAGGTAAAAATGATTTTTTTTTTTTTTTGTACATTTTGAGTATCATCTACAGCATACAAGGTTAACCATTATAGTTTCCTAACGAACTCCAAGCAATTCGTAACAGCTAAAATCACAAGCTCTGTGGTTTGTGGGGGTTTTAAATAGCTACAAGCAAAATAAGTTGTATCATGTGAAGGTATGGTAGCATGACTAAATTTCTACTAGGATCATGGTCAGTCTTGAAGAACTAGATAAAAGTACATACTGTCATCTTCACCTGAAGCAATCTGAAACTGGTCCCACTACTTGTACTTTAAACATAAGCCAACTCTTCGAATTAATAGTTTTTATTGTATTTGTAATGGTTACGGCAGTCATTACCCTCCTAAATATGAGTAATAGTTTTTAACCTATTTGACTCCTCACCTGCACTAGCCAAGAAAGTTCCCGTTTACTCAGACTAAATTGTTCATGCTGTTAAATGCAAAATTAAGTCTTTTAAAAATGCTAAGACTGAGATACAAAGAACGATACAGGTTTCAAACAAAGAGATTTCTTTTCTGTTAGTACAAGCTGTTAGTTATGTTACTGACAGCAAAAGAATTTCTGAAACATATTTTGACTGGTATTTTGCAAGCCCACAATAAGCTTAAACCTGTATTAGAACAATACACCATTGGGAAACATCACAACGTAACAGTACAGAATAGAGTGAAATATTATACTTCATAATTAATATATATTATATATATTTGAACCAGCAGAATTTGAATCACAGGATGTCTTCCTTTTTCCAGAAACATCAAGATAAACAGAAGCATAAAAAGCAAACCATTTTACATGCTGAGCTATGGTTTTATTAAATATAGTAATGAAATCAATAGGAAAAAACTTACTTCTTTTTGGCCTTAACATCTACTCACACGATTCCTTTCATATTTTAATCTCTATCTATTGCAAACAATTTTGTCAGAATGATGCATCT